GGTCCTGAATGCTCCCTCCTCCAAGTTGCTTAACTGTTTGTTATTTTTGCTCTATCTTCAGTTTGCAAATAATCAATTTTTTTAATGGATTAGCTGTTTGGCAAGTAATCGTATTGCTGAAAGATATATGCAGAAAAACAAGGAAATGATTCAGTTCATTTTTGTAATGCAAGTTCACAGCAAATGTCAGTCTCCATTAGATGCAAGTACTAAGTAAATGACTATAAGCAAAGTGTGTTTTTGTTCAGAAATGAAAAAAAAAATCATGCAAGGCTTCATTATAGGATAAAGAATAGAAAAATAATAAGAATTTAGACAAGAGACTAAAATGACACTGAATGAAAGAGTTGCTGTTCAAACAAAATCACTGTGCAAAGAAGATGACTTCTGCTTTTCAATCGACAGAGGAAGTGGGTTTCCAGGTGTTGGTGTCACAGATAAATCCTCTGACTTAAACATCTAGTGCAGCCATTGGCTTGTCCAAATTACTGAGGCCTGGTTTAACAGAGGAGCCTATAAAATTGAGATATTGCTGGATCAATGGCTCTGTTTTATACTCATTCAGCTGGAGAAAATGGCCATTAAAACCATTTTATTTTAATTCCGACAGGCACTAAATTAACTTAGACAATTTATGAAACTCTGAATAACCGAAAGAGAAAAAAGAAAAAGAGTGGAGCTGGATGTCACCGGTGGAAGTCCACAGAGTAGGAAAAGAATAGGGCCCAGAACTGAAGCTTGAGGAACCCCACAAGATGAGGCTTTCTAATGTGAACAGATTCAGATGAAGGCTTTTTCTCAGACAGATGTGATGCAGGGGTGTAGTTTATTTTTATATTCATGACCTGGACATAACTGGTCCAATTTATGCCATTGGCTTATGAACACATAAGCACTTAAGCCTACTTTCTATGGGAATAAACAAAAACAAAGATTGCACAAAGTTAATCACTATCTATAGCTTCATTAGAAATCATTATTTTATTCACATCACACAAGTTTGATACAATAACACAAAAATAAATGATAAATCTAACCATAAGATTTATCAAAACAGAAAGTACATCGCAATGATATGAACAGATGTTACTTTATTTTACTTTCTTTACTTCAAAGGCTTGGAGGTAAAGATAAACTGATCCATCAGGTTTGTAATCATTAGCATAAATCAAAGAGGTTTATGTCTGAATCTCAATAGAAAGAAAATGGTGACGCACCTTCCAGCACTGAAAAACCTCGAGAGGGTTTTAATCGTCTCAACCAAAGACGAAAAAGAAGTGAATTCAGGTTCTGGTTCTAAAGAGTCGAGGGGTTCTGTCGTTCTTCTTCTTAACAAAACACCTTATTTTCTGACTGGACTGGCCTTTCCACATTTCCTATGCGTTTGTTGCCTCTTCACAACAAGCCAGGTTTGCTTTGCATGTTGAGTTTACAACAACAACAACAAAACACAGTGCAAGCCAGCTGGCCGTTGGTTCAGAGTCCTGAAGCAGCTTTGTTCGAAGCGTTTCAAAGCAGACACTCAGCAGTCCTGAGTGGGACAAAGTGACTCAGGTGGACCTTGGACTTTTAGCTCTGACACACTGAGAGCGTTAAGTAACACAGTCAGGAAAGACACAGACACAGAGTGCAAAGTAAGTCCTCCATGAACTTGATGTCCCCTACCGTTTTTCTTTTTTCAAACTGCATCCCGTTTCATAAATAGAAGGTTAACACTTCAATATAAATAAATGCTAATGTACATTTTTAATAGATTAATAGTTTTTGCCCGTTAATCTCTTCACTAGATTGCTGCAGCAAATGTGCCCAGCTTTATCAAAAGTGAGCTGTGCCAAAAGCATAACCAAAGTGAGCAAACCTTCGTCGGTGTAGACCGAGCACAGGCTTAATGTATGATGGTAGTAAGTAGCATTATTATAGTGTTTTTCCACTGCCTGCAGATGGCACTTGATGCCACGTTTGATGGGAGTAGACCATATTTTGAGGTTTTTCTGACCTCTCCAATTGCTGGAAATCAAATTAAATGCTCTAGAACAAATTACATGTTGGATAGTTACTAACTTTAGACGTTGCATCCTAAAAACCTGTAGTAATATTGCCACTTTGTTAGTAGGGTGTATTTCTAGTTTTGAGTTTTCTTTTAATTGAAACTAAGTTATGGTTTGGAATTTGAGGCATTGTTAAGATGTGACTTGAAAGACCACATCAAAAGTGTCAAAACTTCACGTTTACATAGACAAAAAAATATGTCGTTCTGTGGTAAATGTTAAAGTTAAAAAAGTATGCCAGTTAAGTTGTTGGTGATGTTTGAAAGTTTTAAAGAGGAGCTATAAAGACCAAGAGTGGGACGAGGGAAAAAGTAAGGGCCACAGAATAATCGAGGAAGTTCTGGTGTGTAGGTTGGGATGTCAGGGGGTCTATGATGTGGGATGAAGATATAGGGTGAATAAGTTTCTCTCCTAACAGTCTGCCTCTGACCACAGCTCTTTATGGTCTGCTGTGACACATTCGTCTGTGGAGCCAAGAAGCTGTGGACAGCAATGGTAGAAAGAGCTCAAATAATTGCATGTGAAACAAAACGTACATTTTGCAGACAATTGTTTCAAGTGTCACGGTTAAATGTTGCTGTCGTCTATGTTATGGCCCAATCCCAATACTCGCACGACTCCTCCGCCCCTCTATGAAGTGTGGACTCAGCCGAAGTGAATATAAGGGTTTGAATGTGCAGGGTACATTAGTATCTCTGAAAACAACAACAAGATATTGATTTTAAAGGTACAGCATAGGTATTTCTTTTCCAAAATGTTGAACTGAGTTTTGTTGTGATTTGCTAAATGCAAAGCAGAACTGAATGGTTAGGGTTAACCCTCTAACCCTAACACAAAGGTACAATAGAGTGAAACAACATTTCAATATTTCACCTTTGAAAACAGATTTTTAAAAAATTTATTTATTCTTTTGTAGTAAATATTGGCAAATTTCTGCCTTTTAATTCAAAACGTCACATGCGGTGATGAATTGTGGGTGATGTACGTCACCAAAGTCCTCCTGGATGTGGGCTTAGCAGAAGTGTGGAAGTAGAACCCAAAAGGGGCGGGGCTAAAGACAGACATGGAAAACTGGGACCCACTAGCCACTCAAACCCCTCAACACAAATCTGGATTTGAAGGACACAAGAGTGGAAATGCGAGTATTGGGACTGGAGCTATATGACTTATTGTGGGGGCAATATTGGTAGTGAAAACTCTCTTTTATAGTTGTGAGATTTATAGAAATTGAATGAGACTATTTCTTTATGCTCAGTGGCAGCCCAAAGCAGAATGCATAAATCCCTAATATATAGACTTCTCGCTAAAGGAATCAGTTTAATAAAGTTTATTGTACTCTTTGATCGTCAAATTTCCATTCTGATGGAAAACTTGCCGCATATGTTTGAGTCTCAAAACTCTCCACATGAGCACGAGATCTCCTCTCCTCGCCGCCTTTGTTGGCCATCATTTTCTCTCCCCTCCTCTCCCACCTCAGTCCCCACTGAGCCACCTCAGTCTGCGGTGAATGAACGGTGTCTTTACTGAGCTTAGAGACAATCAATCAGCCGTGAGCTGCCTCCAGCGGCTGGCTGTCTCTGTCAGACAGGTCCGGAGGGGGCTGAGGGTGGTGAGGGGTGGCATCGGGTGGGGGCGATATCTCACAATGCATCCGTCTCGCACAGTTGGGTCTCAAGGTACGAAAGTGCGACTGAAAGTTGGACTGGAGTCGCTGAGCTAATCCCTGGAGATGATTACATCTTGCTTTTTTTTTTTTTACTCCTTGGCTTGCCATTTTTCTGTCAAACGCTCATAAACAATTTACTGCATGTCTTCATTTGTTTACTTTATATTTCATGAGTACACTGATGGAACGCCTTATGGTGCAGCCATCTTTAACTTGGTTATTTATTAGTGGTACAGACATTGACAAATTTGTTGAAGATGTCTAACAAGTACTAAAAGAAATTAGTCTTTTACTACTGTTACCTAATTTCACACTTAGCATGTCTTGGTGGGTGGGGGGGAATCCGAAAATAGAAAAATAAATATTTTAGCAGAATAGCTAGAGGCAAAATTATCACTACTCTCACCATTTTCTTTAAAATAAAAGTAGCTAAAGATTGTTTCAATTTAGGCTTAACTTTTCTTTCGGATTCTTCAATGTTTCTAGAAATGTCTAATTGGTATTTTGCGACTCTTCATCTTGAACCTAAAAAGATGGGCTGTCTCTGTGCTTCCTCATAAAGCAGATATAGATATATCTTTCACAACTGTGAGTTTACACAAACTGTAGTCACCAGTCATCACTATGTCTAAAGTCTGCACTGTAACTCGCTACGTGTTATTTTGAAAACAGTAATTGAGGGCAAACTTATTGTGCAGATCTTGTTGTTGCATGACCAAAAGCTTAAGAATATCTGTCACCTTCTCACCCTCTGAGAGTCAAAAACAGTTTTGTGAGTCTTCAAAAAGCTCTCCTTGATGGAATGAGACTACGTATGGCATCATAAGTTCTTTTTGATACTGAAACATTTCAAATTTAACAACGCCGGAGAAAAGAGAGCCGTATCGAAACCGTGGCCAATCCAGAGGGACGGTGCAAAGAGGATTCTTCTTTACTGCTCAAACGTTACTTACAAACTGTTCTGGTGGAGACTAATGGCCGTCCTATTGACAAAAGACACTTCTCAGGGTGGGTGACGCAACGGTGCTTTTGTTTAAAAAAACCCCCAGTTTTTTCTTACTGTAGGATTTCTACTTTTAAATAAATTTTTTCAAACAAATAGTTAGATTTCTTGGACAATGACTGGCATAGAACTGTTTGGATGCAATGTAATGGGACAACAATGGGGATCCATTTTTTGAGGGAGCGAGTAAACAGTTTTACTTTTGTCTTTTTGCATAATTTTTCTTTCTTTTTTTCCCTTTTTTTCTTGCGTGTTTGAAATATTTGACCTTTTTCTGTTACAGGCTAATACACGGAGGCCAGTTTCTAAACGGTCTGGCCGGGCCAACCATAATGAGCGCCGGGCCGTACCTCTCCACCACATGGTTCGCCCCCGACCAGAGAGCAACGGCAACGGCCGTGGCCTCTCTGCTCTCCTACCTGGGAGGCGCCGCGTCGTTCATTGTGGGACCTCTCTTTGTTCCAGCTCCCAACGACTCCCAGACGGGCACCGCGACCGCCGCACCGCCGTCCACCGCCTTCATCCGGAACAGAATCCAGCTGGTTATGTATGCAGGTACGGGCGGAGGGCAGGGAACTCACGAAGGCACGCGCGATCGATGGCACATTATTTCGACATTGTGTCTGCGCCGTCAGGGGACAGAAACACAATCACGCAACAGGGTTTCAAGAATCTTACATAAATGCCAAGAACTCCAGCTATAACCCTCATAACTGTGCCTCTGAAAAATAGCTTGCTGGGACTGTTATGCTTAACTGATTCAGAAAATTAAAAGCATGATGAAAAGAGAAACAAGTGTGCTGTTTGTTTAATCTAAGGTAGTGTCATTAATTTTTGAAGGACACAACAAGCATAATTTATCAATTGGAAGTTCTTGAAGGTCATGAAAAGGAAAGAAAGATTTCCTACTTGAGGTCCAACAGGGCAATATTCACGCCTATGGAAGAGTGAAACGAAACTATAAGAAGTCCCATTTGCGCATCATGTCACAATCCCACCACTCTTGGCTCCGACTCCACATCGGTCCACATCCAAACAGACTTCACTACAGAAGTTGCGGTCGATGCTCCACAAAAGGCGGTTGCTATTAGCTGTGCTTTCTTTTTATTAGCTTCCGTCGTCTCGTGTAACAGTGCTGTTGTATTGCTTGACAGTCATAAAATTGATCAATAGATGACAACGTCCACGATCCCCCGTGAAAGTGGGTAAACCGTTCACACGCAGAAGGGAATATCGCATACCAAAGATGCGATTTTGCAATCGCATCTTTGGTAAACACAAGCAGCTTGTAGCGAACACAATATTTTGCACAAAATTGGAATTGCGCATCAAGATCTACTGTGTGAACGTAACCTTTGACTTGTGCTTTATAGACAGGAGGATTGACTTAAATAGCTTGTCTGACACTCAAGTACTATAAACAGTCTTTCTCTGGTGCGATCAGTCATAAAAGCAAGGCAGTGTTTGAGTAGCAAACTGCAGCTCTGACAGGTGACGCTTACATTTTCCTACGAAAACAGTGTGCTTCATTTATTAGCCGGTGTTACATACTCAGTAACGAGTTACCTAGTATGTTTATGTTTGATGGAGAGTAATGATAAGTCTCTCCAGCTGAACACGATGTTAAGTGACTTCAGGTCATTTTGAGACAAACAAAACTTACATCTTATTGTGTCACTGTTAAGCTTGCACTTCAATTCACTTATGACTTATCAGAATAAAAGTCCCCAAGAGAAGTGGGGTTGTAGTGTCAACCAGAGGATATTGTCAGACACATTCATTTACCGTCATGCCTTCTAGTCTACAATTTGAGTCTTCAGAGGACTCTTGAGAAATGTCATTGTTGACTTTTTTTTTTTTTAAAGTCAAATTGTCGAGTGTCTTACTGTATTCGTGAAACTAACTTTCAGCGTCTCTGTGCTGTGGCAGAGTTGGCGGCGATCGGGGTGTTTTTTGTAGCCGTCCTGCTCTACTTCCCGTCGCGCCCGCCCGTGCCCCCCAGTGTGGCCGCAGCCAGCCAGCGGCTCAGCTACAGGAGCAGCATCTGCAAACTCCTCAGGTAAACGTCCTCATGCTCACAGACCTACCCTCACCTCGACTGCAGCATTTCGCTCTCCTGACTGTGATTGTGGAGGTCCATTTCCACAGAAACTGCTTTCCCAGTGCTGTATTGTTTCATGGCCTCATTTCAGTCAGAAGTCAGTGGGTGTTGGGGATGTTTTTGAAGAAGCTTCAAAGTTTTGTCCGCAGAGTCTGGCTTCTCATTTGCAGATGCTCGAGGCTCCTACAAAGAGCCAGTCCAGCAATGGATGGTGGCCATTGATAGAAAATCAAAGTTGTTCTCAAAGAAACTCCCCTACCCTTCCTCCAGATTCTTAACGGATGATTAAGTAGTTGCTGTTTTATACAAGTATTATTCCCAACACACGTGTCTAATGTTCAGACAGAGATGGTCTATTAAGACAAGGCCCTTGAAGTCTGTGGCATCTATTTGTTGTTTGTCTATTTCCACCCCCAAGAGACTCAAAGAGGAGGTAAAATTGAATCACACTTTATTATAATCCTGTGCACCCCCCTTCCTACCTCCACCCCTCTCCCCTCTCTTCACACCATCACACTTTCCATCAAGGGCAAGTTTATCCCCCTGGGCCACCAGGAAGCAGCAGCGCCTGAGAATCAGTGCTTGGCTTGTTAAGGAATGACGCCTGCAGCAGTGGCCGGGGAATAAAGGCTGCAGAGGGAAGAAGACAAGCTGAGCGACGGCAGTCAGGGAGTTGGCTTAACTTTCTGGGCTGCATTTGTTATCCTTGAGTAAAAAAATCACTCCACTGTGGCGGCCGGATTTTGAGAGGCTCGGCACTCCCCACTGTAGGAGTTCCTGTTGACAGACGACAGAGACCAGGCAGATAGAAACCCAGTGGGGTGGTTCTGGACAGAGGTTTACACATTTACACGAGGTTACAAATGGGAACTCGAGGTTCTGCTGCAGTCGTGATGGGTGGCCTGCCCATTCTGATTTTAGCTGATAACAATTATTTGATTTCATTTATTTATTTTTGCAACTAACATCGTCAGTCAGCAAATGGATTAGTGCACCCATGATTTCTACCTCTGAAATGTTTTATGTTTGGCTGCATTACAACCACAAACTCCAATGTGGTCTATATTGGACATTTTGTAATTAAAAAAAGAAACTGTAGTGAAAAGGAAAAGCCAAGATGTTTCTGTTGTTAAAATTGACTCTAAAAGTTGGTCATTCATTTGTATTTTGCCACATTTTCACTAAATCTAAACCTTTAGTTTGTGACACAACAAGCAAAGCGTTGGCTGTTCTTGTCAGTCAGTTTGAGGCTCTCCATGAAGTCTCTAGTAGTTTGGTACATGTGGGGGAATTGTTGCAAAATATCGCAAGCTCACTGAGATTGGATTAATTTTTTTCACTTAACCTTTATTTAACCTAGGATAGGAACTTGGTGAGATTAAACATCTTATTTGTTTTGTACATGCATTAAGAGGAATAGTTTTGGTCCAGCTTCATTTGTTGCATGTCTTGAGAAAACTCCCATTGGAATTTTATATGGTTTTCTTTCAATAATTGATTTTCTTTTGCCACTTTTCCATAACATTAACACTTTGGAGAGCACAACCTCTGTTGGTTTGAGATCTATGATTGGTTGATCCCACATTTGTACATGTTCCCACCTCAAGTCTCTTTTAAGCTGGTCCAAAAGTTACGACGAAAATGACCATTAATTTGCGATGAATATTTGTCTGTCCAGCAGCCGGAGTTAGCGAGTTTGAATTTTGAAATGAGAAATGCAGGATTACACATAGTGACTTTGAAGGCAGGTGCTGCACGGCAGATCGCTTGGTATTCCTGACACCTTCCCACTGATGTATCTGCTCATCCATTTACCCTGTCAAGATCTAAGCACACGCTAATGATCTTCAGCTTGATGCGAGCTTCCAGTTGCTCACATCTGCTTCCACAGCAGCCGCCTAATTAAAACCCTGGCTGTGTCTTCGCATTGTGTGTGTATATATACACACACACAATGTATATTGTGTGTGTGTGTATATATATATATATACACACACACATTTTTACCTCTGGGAGATCAAACTCCTCAGACCAAAAAGCTGATCATCCCTCCTTTCCCGTCAGACACACTTTAGTTTTGAAAGTTGTCATCTTCATGCATTCGTCTCCAGCCTGCTGGGCCAAGGACAAATGGCACTTAGCTGATGACACCCTCTTTTTGAGACCTCCTTGGAGACTCCTGCAGAGGCATTTCATCACTGCCAAAAACTGGAAAGTTAAAGCACACCTAGCACGTGCTTGCTTTCCTTTGGATGTCTATATAAGGTCATGTATAAAGATAAAGGTGCTTGGGTATTGATTTTTTGCTGTTGTGGCAAGGTTAATGAAAAGGGTGCTCAGGAAGACGAAAAAAAAAAAAAAAAGACCCACAGAGTGCTCCATCAGAGGGGCTTTTATGATTGTCCCGCCACGCCGTCACCAAGGCCAAGGAGCCTCGTGTTGCTCAGGATGGAGCGTGCAATCTGCAGCGGGGAGAGAGCTGGAGTTTTCCGTTCGCTATTTTGAGGCGAAACAGCAGGCGAGGTCCACCTTTGCAAGAAAAGAGTGCGCACATTTTCCCAGAAAGCTCACTTTTGTTCTCTGCTCAACAGTTAAAGCCACGGAGTCTTCCTTCTGCAAAGCGCGGTTCAATAAATACTGGAGTTAGTATATGAAGCAAAAAAAAAGAAAAGGAAAACTCTTTGAGTCCGCCGCCTGCTCTGCCAGCCTTGCCTCATTTGTCAACCGCTTAGTGTCTCTAATCGCATTGTTTGGGCCGAGTAGGTGGCTCTGATTTTTAAATTAGTTTGCCACCTCACTGGGTAAAGGTGATTAGATTTTTGTGTTCCCAGTGATTGTATTCTAGGTGTCATATGAGTGGAGAGGTGCCGCACCATCCGAAAGAGGAAAGTGAAGTGGGCACGCTTAAGCCATTGGGGAGCTGGTTTTGTTTTCCACTGATGACAAACGGCACAGAGTTTGTGTTAAATACTGCAGCGCGGTACTAGTAGTCTGCCATCATCAGCTGGGAAATGAGCTGCTGGGTAGTTTCATTTATTTTAATGAGATAGGAATAAGCCAAGCCAAATCAATCCAATTTGTTTATCTAGAAGGTCTTTGTAATTTACCGCTGTGGTCAAATTACAATCTACAAAATGCCAAAGTGAAAATTGATTTTTGATCAAAAATAATGACAAAGTTGATAAAAGCATGCAGGATAAAATAGTAAAACGTTGTTGATCATTACTAATTTATGAACTAAATTAAAGGGTGAAAGATCCATCGGCATTGGCATTTGAACGATTTTCCTCTCTTTCTTTAGAGACGATCGTTTATTTTGTTTGTCAGCTACACGTGAGTTGAGTTGACGTTCTTACGGTATGAAAACATTTAGTGTTCGTGTTCCTTGACAGACAACCAATCAATCATGTAAAACTTTCAATTTTCTATTTTTTTCAACCAATACCTTATGAACTAGAACTCCAGCTCATGGACTCTGGATGGTTAAATACTTTTGGACACCGAAAATGAAATCGGTAATAAAAAATGTGAATTTCTTGGGACTGTGAGCTCTTTGTGTTCAGGATTGACTCGTTTTCTTTCTCGCCTTCAGTAACTTCCGTTTCCTGATGATTGCGTTGGCCTACGCGGTCCCTACAGGAGTGATCGGCGGCTGGTCTGGAGTCCTGGACATGGTTCTGACTCCAGCCAAAGTCAGCCAGGTAAGATCCAAATTATTACAGCGTGAGCACAAAAAACATGTTGAATTTGAACAGACTGTGATTTTCTGTGTCCTTTTGGTTTGTGAGCCAAAGCGCACCATTTTTCATGGTTTTAAAACGTCAATTATTTTAAATAATAATACTAATAGCAGGGGAGTATTTATTTGTATGTCAGTCCTACTTTTCCGCAGCTCCACAGTGTGTCCTTGTCTTAATTTTATTCCTGCTGGGTTATTTGTTCACATTTCTCACACCTGTCAGATGGTCATCTTTGCTTTCCTGATGTCGCCAGAGTTTTGGACGCGTTGAGTCGGGGTCGGTTTGTTGTGCAGCTCAGAGAAAAACACTCCGCTTCATTTGCACCTCCCTACCTTCCACCCATGTCGAAACAGGCGTTATTTTGAGGTTCTCGTCAGACAGCTGCCGCTTCTGGGGAAATTACACACAGGAGAGCAGAGGATGGGACGTTTCTTGTCACACCTCTGCTTTCTGCCTCTCTCTGGAAAGAAGGATGCAAGTCTCAATTTCAGTTCAGTTCCCCCTCAAATTCATCGCAATCTTTTCATCAGTGCTCGTTAACGTTGGTGAACTTTATTGCTGGGATTTGTGCATGTATTTCATGGAGGACAAACGAGAGAGCAGACGGGCGGAGGTTGCTAAAGAGGGGGGGAAAAAATGTTTGTTCAGTGACAGTTTGGGGTTGTCTGAATGAATAAAAGATCATATTTAGACATCTTGTGCGAAGCCCAATGTGGGCTTACGTACTCCAGCCACATTTCAACTCATCCTGTCTGTCGGTGAAAGCTTTAGAGGTGCTGTTCAGATCCATAAACTATGCAGATAAAAGCACATGACACGGGCGTCCTGTGAAACACTAAAGGCATCATGTTCGTCACCCTTCGTGTTTTGAAGTGAAATTCATTTATGTTGCATTTCTAACACAGATGACTTTTTCTTGCTTGTGCCCATAGAAAAGTCAGCGTCACAGAAAGCATTAGTATAAACGTAAGAATAAAATGTTTTGCTGCTGTAGGACTAATTATTGCTTTCAGTTTGAAATAATAGTACTTAGACTGTGTCACACATTTGTTGTGTGTGAATGCCGTGACGGGGTTAAACGGTTGTGCTTTTGCTCTCGTACCAGTCCGTGAATCCAGCACACACACTCCACACAAACAGGTGTGTGACTTTGTCTCTTCGGCCATTTGAGCCGACGGCACAGCCGCTGCGATACCCGATGCTCTGCTCTCCTCTGCCCTTCACTAGTGTTGAAATCCACGTCATGTCGGTCATACTTTATACTCCACCTGCATTTGATTTGGCTGCTTTCCTTGGCGTATGTCCATTAGTTTTTTTAATCGGCCTTTTTCATAATTGAACACCAGATAACACGGGAGCTGCTGCTGCTGAATGTTTTTTTTCTGTGCGTGCTTTGATTGTATCTAAATAAATGCATCACTAAAAAGGCCGGATCATTTTGTCCAAATCCTCCTGTAAATGTAAAACAGAAGCATCGACTTCAAGACATATGGTGACAAAGTAGCTCCCGTGTCTCTGCTGTCATCTTTGAGATGTAAGCTCCCACTGCATGACCTGGAAATGCACCCACACAGATTAACAAGTTGCATAAATTGATTCTGCAAGCAACAAGCACAAGAGCAAAGGCAAAAAAAAAAAAATTAAAAAGTCTCACTGGATGGTAGATGGTACACCAAGAGGGATGTGAGAATTTATAACATGTTTTTTTTGTTGTTTCAGTCCCATAAGTACCTGCTGTCTTACATGACCATGAGCAAGATTTTCAGAAGAAGCTAAGGTGTTTGGAGAGTATACTAATCTCTCAACAAGTGTTGTTTTTCACAAGTCGTGTAGCCATTAATTAAATAATTGCTTCTGGTTTTACTTCATCCATCAGCGTATACCCTGCAGCAATGCCTCACACCTTTGCCAAATCAAATAATTTTAGCCAGGTTTTATGGGCTTTGGGAGCCACAACAACTACTTCAGGCCCCCTTATAACAGCCTGTTTTAATAGCTGCCAATATACCTCATTGTGTCAATACTCACAGTAGACACTGCCACAGAAGCGGAAGCCTGGTTCATACGGTGAGACTTTTATGCCAGATTTAGACGTGATCTTCCCCTTGCACTGTCTTATATGACGATATACGTGAGCTCTCTCGGGTTTTGAAAATCACCTGACAATTTTCAAATCTTGCTGTGTGGACCGGGCGTCACCCCTCGGTCGGCAGTGATTGGCCCTTCGCGTTCAAGCAGCTTTGCGATTCCCAAGCTGCATTTTCTTTTGAATATTTCCCACCTCTTCCATGGAAAAATCCCCGAATGGACAAATTTTCCACATAATTTGGAGTAGCATTGCACAAAAAGAAAAAAAAATCTGTGAATAGGTTGGGGTCTACTGTATACCATGCCTACAGGTGTGTATCATCATAGGACGTAGATATGCAGGTGTATTTATAAGACTGTAATGAGGGTACTTAAACGGGCTTTCATAAGAATAGCTACAGTTTTCACTTTCAAAGCGGTTCTTTTGGAGAGGAACCGCTTTGTTCAAAGCGGTTCCTCATTAAAGCACAAAATGATGCAGAAAGTGACAATGCTTTCTCGCATACTAAGGGATTAGCATTCTGAAGGTTTTTTTTGTTTTTTAAAACATTGGAAAGTATGCGGGATCTGTGTACGACAGGCCCATTCAGAGCCGAACTTCCCGTCACCATAATGACGACGTTTCAGGAAACAGGTGCTCCACTTTGCTCATCAGTCATCTGCCTTCACCGCTTTAATGGATATGCATTTTCAATTCAAGCACCCAGAAGGCTGATCCAATGTGTCTAAGCTTCTTTTAGTTTCCCCTCGGAATCGATCTCCAAAACGCTTTCCAAGGCCCGATTTGACCAGAGTACAGAAGCTGCCTTTTCTTCCAAGTTCAATCCGACGTGTGGCTTTTCAAGATTACATGAAAGCCATCAGGAGAACGAATGTGTCGTCAAAATACAGCTGATGGTAAAATTTGTTTTGACTTTTGGTGCGAGTGAGTGGATTATTGAGAGAGCAAATTAAAGACAACAAACATGGAAACGGGTGTAAAGCCCTGAGCCTTGGATTTACGTTTTTATCGCGGCAGTCGCCTGAAGCTTATTAACACACTTTAAATATAGACGAGATGATTAGGCGTCAAATCTGCCCTTTCTAAGGTTTCCAAGGCGCTAAGAATACCGCGGTTAATTAACTCTACATCCGCTCCTGGTGCACAATAATTCAGATTTAGGAATTGGAATGTCTTAGGAGCCTATTTATGTTTCGCTTCCTCAATAAGGGTAAAAAAAAAAAAAAAAAAAAAAAGAACCCAAATGTTTGATTGCAATTCTCACAATTAAAATGTGTCTTTTTAGCTCTTTGCTGCACGTTGGAGGATGCAGTTCCGTTTTGAGAAACCCGGCGGTCCTCCAAAGGACACTCCACAGGGAGTCATTCACACCAAGCATAATAGCATTCAGACATTCATCACTCACTATGCCAAAACACATTTTATGTTCAACAACTATGGCAGTCCACTTTTATTTATTATTGCCTTCGGTGACACGTGGGCGCAGAGGATGATCAAGCAAAAAGCGCCGGATGCTTGTTTTGACTCGGTTCCCTCGCTGTGTCGTCCTCCATCTGGTCGGATTTGGTGAAAAGTGAGTCATTGCCCCGGGGAGGCTAAACGGTGCCGCTGGCACTTGCTTGTTTTCATCTGGGTGCCTCGCCCTGATTGGTTGTGTGTTTGTGTGTTGGTTTGCAACAACTGCAGCATTTTACCTGCCATTGATTCTCCGACAGTCCCCTGGCCATAACATCCTGTGTCCTGACTTTGAGCAAATGTTCCAGCGTTGGCTTCCATTCCTCTAAATAGAAGCGGGACAACAATCCTTTTTACACACACACACACACACACACACACACACACACACACACACACACACACACACACACACACACACACACACACACACACACACGCGCGCAATACTGTCAGACTAGGCAATTTAGCTGACATGGTGACTGAAAGGTCTCAGTAGGCTTCAAACACTTAGTGCTTGCTCTCTGTCTTGCTCTGTCCTCCCTCTCTTACCTTCTCTTTTCACTGTTCAATTTCTTTCTTTCTTTTTGCTTGCAGGTGAATGCAGGCTGGATTGGTTTCTGGTCCACTGTTGGCGGGTGTGTGTTTGGAATAGGAATGGCCAGGTAAGTTGAATACTGCTACGTTTACTGTACATCACGCATATTTAGCCTGTAGAAATGCACAAACAGGTCAAGACTTCTGAGACTTGAGTATGATTATGCAACATGACTAGAGTGAGTGATGGACTGTCCAAGTTTCAGCAACCAAACTCTTTCAAGCCACCTACAGTGTAATGGTACTTTTCTCTATCAACACTTTGAATGATAATTATTAAGTGGAAGGAAAAGGTTTTTTGAAGTTTTTGTTGTCCTTAAATTTGAAATGTGTAGCATAAATGTCTTTCCACATCTGGAGGCTGGTATTTGTGCCAACGTGTCTCGCAAAAACAGTTCAACCTCTTTCAGAAATGTGTCTGAATACTTTTGCGCACCCTTCTCGTCTACACCAAGTGTCAAACGAACGCGGTCTGCAAAAGCAACTCGCGAGACAACAGACCTCTCGCATATCTGACTTTTTAATGGCAGTTCAGTTTGTTTATTAAGCTAATACAAGCCAGCTCAGTAGAAACTTTATGGAGCCACTGAGGCATTAAATTAGAAAATAAGCATTCACTGTAACGCCTCATTAACAGCTGCACTCCTTATTCGCAGTTCAGTTGCACACACGTTCTGTGCCTAATCCTCAATGTCGTGCTGTGTCAGTTATTCAGAAGAAAAGGTCGTCGACATCGAAAAGAGGATGCGGGCTTATTCCCGCTGAAAGACGCGCTTCATACACACGAGGAAAGTCACCAGTTACAGTCGGTGAACTATAAAGACCGCGGCTGTTTCAGATCAAACCTTTGCTCACCTGGGAATTGGGGTTTGGTGCCGATTTTCTCTAAAATGTAAAGGAGGCCATCCAAACGTGAAACGGTAGCGACAGAAATAGACGGCAACAAAGTGGATTTCAATTTGGGAGGGAAGACAAGGTGGCAAACATACAAATTTATCTTTCAAAACATCTGCGCCTCTAACACACATGACAGCTGACACACTGTCAAAACAGTATGGAAGCACAAAAGGCAGCTGTCAGTGAGATGGCGTCTGAAGACGTATTCGTATTCGTGTTCTTTGAGAGCCTCACGCTGCCTAACCAGTGAGACGAGACACTTCTCTTCCCGCACTTTAGCAGCATTATTTATAACATCAGTCGCAGCCGATAAGGCCCATGTGGAGAACAGTGGAGCGTCCACTTGAACTTAACAAAGAGGATCTGTCTCTTTTGTTTCCCCCCCGCCCCTCATGTCATCTGCTCTCCTTTTTTTAATACAAGAGCCGAGCCCAGTGACAAAAGAGGGAGTGGAATTGATGCTGATGCAAGTAGCTTTCCCCCCTCCAGCTGATGGATAGAGAGCCATGGCATAAAGACAAAGCATAGAGTCTGCAGAAAAAAAAGTGGGGGGAGGGGGGAGTCGTTCATGCTCTGATGGATGCGGGCCGACGGCCAGTCGTTGCTTCCGGGCAGTACTGGTGTTTTCTTTAGGTTGTAATCAAGGAAATGAGCCCATTGCCCCCTCCTCCCGATCTTAAATCAATATGGCCGTTTGCAGCACGAGATGAAAGCATTTGTAAACAAAACTGATAAATTGTGGTGTAGATTATGCATTCTGGGAGTCAGGGGAGGGAATAATTCCTCTCTCTCGTCGGAGTTCATAGTCAAATGAATTTTGGCTCCGGCAATTATGCCGTCGCTTCTTTCGCTGGAAAAATGTGTTGAACAGGCCTGGAATCATACTAATGAGGTTTATTAATCTTCCAACAACTCAAATATATAAATATATATCAATATTTTATGCTGGGCAATTATTTTTTTTTCAATTGCTGTGTAGCACAACCCATCCGCATGCAGCGACCGCTTAACCACACTTACTGGATTTATTGCACGTGAAGCGATGAAGGAAAGCGAAACATGACCAAAGAGCTGAATTGCTGTTTCAGTGTCTTTTTATCACAGAAATCTGGTGTTCTCTTTATCCATATCAGCGCTCACTGGGACTGTATTTATTAGAAATGAATCTCAGAGACGCGACTTGACAGCCCTTTGATTTTACAACATTTTAGCAAGAGCTGTTTTACATGAGATGAAACAAATGGGAACTAAATAGAATTTTAATTTCTTCTCCGACTTCCTTTGTCCATCCTCTTGTATCCAAATATGAGCTTTGATTTAGATTTATTCAATGTCAATATACAATCGCTTAATACCTTTTATTAAAATTGTTTTCTTTCCACTTAATGTAACTTATACTTATTTTACAGCCCCTGCAAAGATATTTATTCCCTGTAAAAGTTTAGAAGAAGTTCACAGCGGGGTTAGATTCTAGGAAATATCCCAAGCTTTGGAGATTTCACACAACAGTCTGTAGTCTGGTTTATCATAAAACAGCGGAAGCCGTTTAATCTGCTTTTAATCCTGGATTGTTTCAGCCTCTCTGGGAACAGAGAGCTCAGCATTTACCTGCAAATATGCTCTTTCCACTCTCGCTCTCACGACGGCGTTTGTTAAACCAGCTGCAGTCCCGAGTCTCCGCGCCTGTCATGAAACACACACGGCAGAAAAACTATTATCTGTTCGCCAGCTGACGGGTCTTTTCACAAGGAATGTGGAAAGAGCAACTTAACAAGCTGCAGCAATTATCCCCCCATTACAATTCCCAAGAGAGGTGTCGGTGGCAGAAAAGCAAACCAGGTCATTTTCCTGCACGTCACGAAGGCCTGAGGTGCGCAAATCTCCAGCTTGACGAGTCGATACAGAGCAAATGCAAATGACGATCAGCTTCGGCCTAATAGGTTGCGCCTGTAACCAGGGACGATTTGCGATCGCGTGTCGGCCATCATATTATTCCATCTGCGCTCGCCACGCTCCACCTGCGGACCTGCATGCACTGGAGAGCAGAAAATGCAATTTGATCTGATGCTGCTTAGATGAGCCTGACGAGTTTATTGGTAATAAAATCTGTTACAAAGATGGAAAATGCTGACTTTTATTTTGAATATTACCTCAGATTCAAGTCGCCTAATTTACCAAGTTTACCAAATAGCATTTGGAAAAATTTGTCTCTCTTTCATGAGAGAGACACAGTAACTATGCCATCACTGTTGACATGTCTTCTCAAGCTACTTCACAAAAAAGTTAATTTAGTCCAATCATACACAGATTCTGCAGTCAAGTCCATCATTCAAATTAGTTAAGAGGATGTTCTATCGGGGGAAACCCAGCAGGTTGCGTTGAGTCCTTGACTCCTCTTTGAACCCTCAAGTTCAGCTGACATTTGGCAAAAACAGTAACAAACATCTTTATTGAGGGTACTCTGGGACTAGATGGGGAACTATTAAGGAAAAGCTGCTCGGTGTGAATAAACGAGCCGATTAGAATTCATACAGCTCGGTTGTCGGTGATCTTCTCCGCAAAAGGGTCGAGAGGCTTTTGCGGGGCGCCGGGGGGAAATGCTTTCGCACATCTCTGGCACCAGAAGTGCGTGAAGAGCCGTGGACGCGCGCCAGCCTCTGGCAGATGGTGAATGCAGATTTTAGTGGTGCGACTGTGGGCTAGGAACAGAGATCCATGGGTTTTGGCAAGTGCAGGACCATGAACTCCTCATTCGGTGTTTGGTCAGGTTAGGCTCTGTGGCCTGTCACGGCCGTCTGTCGAAGCGTTCACACGTTTCTCTTGTCCCGCGAACACAGAACTAATTTGTCAGCGTATAGAATGCATAAAAGGCATTAGTCTTGCAAAAATGCCACGGCGGAGCACAATGCGTCTCTCAACGCTAAGGCTGTTTTCTGTCATCCCCTCGCTTTCAGCTCATTGACAGAACTCCACCACCCAGCAGAACCGATCAATCACTCGCAGCAGGTTTCTTTATTCTCGTATCGAGTTGCTTGTCAGGTTCAGCCCTCTTTTCTTCTGCGTCTCGTCTGTGACCAACAAAATGAAAGCAATTAGTGGCTGTCTTTGCTACAGGCAAATCCAGGCTCATCTACTCTTCCTCAAGCATACATATGTATACCCAGAGGAGAAGAGAGGGCCAGCTGAAATGAATTTAGACGGGGCTGCGGAAAGAAGTCTGGAAACTTGAAGGCTCTCTTTGTAAATATGGCCCAGTGGCTTCCCTTCTACACTATAATATGCTGCGTGTCTTGAGTTTGCCTGCTCAGTTGGTGAGACAAATTGAATCAACTCGACGCGTTTTGTCTCCCAGTCTAATGAGAAGTAGAACTGACGCACTCAGAAACAAGTGGGAGATGGAAATGATCTATCCTTCCTGCGAGGCAGTGCGTGTCCTCTGTAATATATTTTGACACTCGTCACAGAAGAACCTGAGTTGCTGAAAAATTGCGCTGTATCATCTTGTGATGTGAAAGGATGCGTCTTGTTTCCGGCGCAGCTACCTTTTAATCTTGTCAGCTTGTGTGTATCTTTGAATTTTTACACAACAGGGAGTTTTATTGTCGTTTTCCCCCCTCCTCTCCTTTTTTCCTGAACCTCAGATTTGCAGACTCCATCCGTGGGATGCTGAAGCTGATTCTGGTGCTGATGCTGGCAGGAGCCTCGCTGTCCTCGACGTGGTTTACGCTCACCTGTTTGAGCACAATTACCCACCTCCCGGTTTCTGCAGGTAGGCCCGCGCTAACGTCACCATCAAGGTGACTTCTGTCTTTTTTTCCCAGTCGCTGAAGCTTAGTCACATTTTCCACCCTGTAGTCACTGTCTCATTGTGCGTGTTGGAGCACAAAGTCAAAATGATTAAAGGAAGTAGGTGTCACAAGCTGATCTATCAATCAATTCACATCAACGATAACAACCTTTAGGGATGTCAGTGGATTTAGCTCCCCTTCCCTAAGCCATCTAATAAGCATATAATCATGTATTTCTAAACCACAGATTGTAATCACGATCGTCCATCATCATTCTCCCAACCCCTGGAACCTCTCTCTCTCTCTCTGTCTCTTTCTCTCTCTCTGTACTTCATGTCCTTTTATACACTGGCAGCCTGATGCAGCCTGATGCAGCCAGCTCCCAGTCTCATTTGTCTGGCATTGCACCTAAGAGGGCAGCAAGACATTGCATCGTGACACCTAGCATGCCTTTCTATCTTCACAAGAACTTCACATTGACTTTAATTCAATTTTCATTCATTTCTAGAACATTGACCCTTACACTAAACTTAACCATTACCAGCACGTGCTTAAACTGAAGCCTAACTTAAACCCAGTTCACACCTTAGTCTTAACCCATGACCCCATCACAGGGAGGTCCACAGCATTAGGACTAGGGCTATTGTAATCTAATGTTTTAGTAACGCACACAAAGAAGCTAATGCATTCCGTTGAAAAGGAAGTATCATATTTTACAACCAGAAAACATCCCATCCGTCAACGTATAAAACATAAATTATTCACAATTGGGCATTTCACCGTTTTTCAAGCAGAAACATAAAAGCGATGTTAAAACACATTTTTCTGACACAAAAGCATTTGTTCTCTCACCCATCACTTCCAGATGATGTGACATCTGGAACCAAAGAGCATGGAAGCGAATTTGTAATCCAAAAATCACTTCTCTTTCCAAAGAAAATGAGGTCAACTGATTGGTGGTCAAAGGTTAGAGATATGCAAGGAGTCTATGTTTATAGCAGATGCAACATTGATCTAATAAAGTGAGTTAAGCAATTCAGATATCTTTTTTTTTCTAGAGTAATACTCCCCTGGTACATGTGGGCAAGTAGCATGTCCATGTGGTACGTCTTACTGAGAAGGCAATGAATGGAGACAAGTCTTTCATGCAACAGATATTTATAGATCTGTAGCGCTAAATTCTGGTCTTGTTCTCATTTTCACATTTTCTGCCAGCTTGCAATATTCCAAGCATTCCTCAGAGATGATTAGTTATCGTCTTCCCTCAAAGGGTCTCCTCCTACCTTTTGTGACCCGACGTACAGGAAACACAACTCCTTTTGAAGGCAGCCTCTGGGGGGGTGAGGATCCCCTTTTGCAAACCTGTTCTCAGGAATGCGATGGACCTCAGAGGAGCTGTGATGAAAGGAAAACGCAGACAAATGGGACAGTCATTGCTATCGTTTCGCTGAGATCAGGAGGGACTCTGGCGCGATGAGTCTGCTTCTTCACACGTTGGTGTCACCTCGGACCGAATCGGTAGACGTCGAACTAAAAAGCTCGCCCGCCGACAATTTCAGCACATTTTGACAATCCTGGAAGTAGTTCCCGTGAGCTGGTTTTGCGCATCCGCGCCGTGCACAAGGAGCAAATGAGAAGCTGTTAACCAAGTGGACACCTGTGCAGTTTGGCAAAAGAATAAGAAATTTCATTTTAATGCATCGTAGGATCCGTGACACGAGCTGCATCTTAATGTGTCGTGCGCAGGCGAACGAAAACCAGTGATATATTGCAAAATAAATTGAAACTGAATTTGTCGGCCGAGGCAATCAACGTGCTTTTGTTGCACGACATGCCAGGCTGGTACAAACTGTCCTCCCCCGACCCCCAAGTGGAGAGTAAGAATTAGGACAGGATGCATCACACCTCACTCAACTTTTAGTAAAGCTAGTTGCAACAGTTATGAGTCCAGAGCTAATACATTCATCAGTGAATGTTTTCCCCCAAATTTAAAGATGAATTATTTAAAGATTTAAGTGAGGAAGAAGAAGCCGAAAACACAATTTGGTGGGAAAAAAACAACTCTGCTGTTCGAGAGAAACGTGTTTTATGCTCACATGTTCGATTAGCTTGTGTACCTTCTGCCTCCAACCAATTATTTTTGAGACGGGGCTCGTGAAAGAGAAACATCATAATTATGAAGTTGAGCCGGAAAAACACATTTCAAGCGACAAACTAATCATGTCACACCGAGGAAAGGGGGCAAAGGCATGCTGGAATTGGGTTTGAGAAAGAAAGCCATTTACTGTGCAAAAACACCTACAGTATTTTGGTTTCCTGTTAAATTGCCACCTGGAGGCCTCGCTTACTAAATGGACCGTTGTGTCGTGGCGAAGGTCCATCATAAATCTGGGGCTGGTAAAAAAAAAAAAAAAAAAAAAAAATGGTGGAGCAGGAAACCCTCAAAGGTTGAATATATCACTCCTGTTCCACAAACTGTATCCTCACATCTTTCTTTCAAAAGAATTGCTCAGGTTAATTTTATTAATGTGCTGCTTTAAAATATGTTTTTTTTTTTATTTGGTTCCGCCGTTTGTTTTATCTCTCCACAGCCATCCTCTACACTTCCTGCATCCTGGTCGGTATATTCGTCAACAGCAGTGTGCCGATTTTCTTCGAACTCTTCATTGAGACGGTGTACCCGGTCCCTGAAGGCATCACCTGCGGCGTTGTCACCTTCCTGGGGAACTTGGCTGCTGGACTTCTGCTCTTCTTCCTCACCTTTTACCCAACGAGTAAGACCAAAGGGCTCAAATTACCTGTAAAAAGGTCAAATCAGGTTTATTTGTGCAGCATATTTCAGCGACAAAGTGATTTTCACGACGAAAACACAACACAATAACAAACAAGCGATATACACATCAGTTATATTAATCAATGTTCCAGTGGTTGTTAATCAAAGGCAACTCTGAACAGGTGGAGTTCGAGCCTAGATCTAAAGGAAGTCAACGTTTCGGTTGTTTTGTAGTTTTCTTGAAGTTTGTTAGATTTTTGGAGCATGAAAACTGAATGCTGCTTCTCCATGTTTTGCTTCTGGTTCTGGTTCTGGTAGTGATGATGCAGAGTAAACTACAACCAGAAGACTTTATCATTTTAATCAGCAGAAATTTTGAGGTGTACGGACATTGACGTATTTTTTTTTACTTAATTCATTTCTATTTTTTTTTTTGTGACTCTTCAGTGCATTTCATTGCAACTATTATGTTTTACGTTATTTACATAGTTTATTATGTATTTTCTTTCTTTTTTTTATTCATGCTAAGGGTTAGATTTTACATTTTCATTCAGGTTAATCAATTGCAGAAAACTTAAAGCATTTAATCTCACTTTCTTTCACCAAAAGCAGAGCATTTGTCGTTGCCTCGGGGATGGGGATCGTCTGCAACCTTACATATGTAAACACCCATATGCCACATGAACTCCTGTTTAAATGGGTAAATATTAGACATCCTGGTGCACCTGGAAGGACATTTGGTTTCGAGGGTAAGCTAACCTACTGAAAGGTACAAACGCTTTGTTGCATTTCCCTCCTTTTGTGTCTTTGAGCTGGCTGCAGCAGTCAGTTTATGCAACAATTTGGGCAGCGATGGGACAGCTTGTCATCTGCATTTCTTCTGTCTCCCAGGCAAGAAAAACAAAAATGATGTCATTGATGGAAGCTGGTGCTGCTGTGTGAATACTGGTGCAAACTCGGAACCATATTGCTGTTTGGGATGCTTGATTTTATTTATTTTTTTCCTCCATATTTCCTTGCTTAAAGATACCAGATTCAGATTTACCTTTGATAAATCGGTGGTGGTGTTCGATTAGAGGCTGTACCACTGGTCCGGGCGCCGAACAGCAGTATGAAGGGTTGATGCGTCTGCGAGATGTTTTGCGCGGATTTATCTTGCGCCGCAATGGGAAGCGTTAAGGGACGGCTTAATCAGAGTGAAAGTGGTTTTGATATCTGTGATCCACAAGACGGGCAATGTTTTCTGATTTATTTGAAATGACCTCACGCCAGAACGACGATGAATCACGGAAGAGGCAGAAATATTATCTGGTGTGCATTGATCTACTGCAGCCTGACAGGAGAGCTGGACTTATAAAGTATACATGATGCATCCTCTGCTCAGTGTTTCTCCCTGCATCTCTGAATGATTGACGACCCGGTGTGGCTGAATGCAGGTCTCGGCACATCTAAGTGTGTTGTGTGCATAGAAGTGTTTGTGTGTGTGTGAGACGGGGGAAGCTCAGGGATGCCTAAGATAGATCTCTACAATCATTGTGTCAGGAATTGAAAAGATCAGGCACATTAGAAGGAGGCTTTAGTTTCTCCCTTTTTTGCACTTTGCAACCTTGAAGTTGATAAATAGATAATGATGCAGCCAAGGTTTCTTGTTAGAGACTTATCCTTGCTTCAGGCATAGCGAGGGGAGAGTGGAGACGGCTGCCACGGCAGTGGATTGCTGGCTTCTTACTCGGATAGCGTCTCTGAAAGTCTACTACCACGTCATCTCGTCTCAACAGTCACCGTTTGGTGCTTAGGGCTGAAAATTGACCCAATCCGGAGATTTGTGTATATTTTAGCATTGCATTTTCCTCCTTGTTCTTATTCGTCATCCACAATATGAATCCAAAATAATAAATCAAATCTGCTGTATTACAGACCAAACCAAAGGTTTAAAAGCAAGATTTAGCAACAAGGACGTCATTTAAACATGAGGCGTTTCTCTTAGATTTGTTCATCTCTGAATCCAATCAGGCGCAATGACTGGCAAAACGTTCTCGAAGCTTCACTGACGCACAGCGCCATGGTTGAGTTTGTAGAATTGTGTCGTTTTCTCATGAGTGTTGCTGGTTTGGTACAACATTGGTATTGACGTGCAACTGGACACTTATTTTCAGAGGAACGTTTCTTCTTGAAATATTTCAAAGAGCCGCTGACCCTCAGTGTCTGGAACGATCACAGGGTTCGTTGCCGTCCTAAATGGCGGGAAATGTAGAACTTCCCATTCCCGAGACATTGATAAATGCCCCTCTCAGCAGGCCGGCGTTGCTGTCATTTTTCACGGTTGGGATGACAGCCTCGGGGTGATGACAAGTGTTGGGTAAACACCGACGGCAGCGTTTACCTTAATGGCCAGAAGAAATGTGCTTTTGTGTCATCCAGTCTCAGGTTTGAGAGGTCTCCAGTAGTAATAGTAATCCACACCCGATTTCTTACAATATGTCACCCCGTTGACCCTGAGCATCACTGTCACTTCATTTCTATCTGGTTTAAGGCACTAATCATTGGGACTCTCCCTTATTTACATGACTTTTCATCAAAAACAAAAATAAGCTCAAGTAAAGGTTTATAATATGTATGTAAAATAGTTATTTACAAACATCTAGGTAGCTTCTTTTTAGTGGCAATCATGTAACTCTTGGCACAGACAAAAAGAAGATTGACTTTAGTACTGTTAAAGAAGCAGGTTTTTACATCCTGAAGAATGCAAGGGTTGTGTCTTCGTTGAAATAGCTGCAGCAGATGTAATGACTTTAGACACTTCAATGCTGAAAAAATATTTTCTTTTTGGCGTCCCAAAGACATATCACTGGTCAGGCTACATTTTGAAGTCAGCAACATGCAGTCTGTCAGCTCTTTGGACGCTAAACGTTTTGTGATGCTACAGGCAGCCACAAATTTCAAGGTTATTCACCCTACCTGTGTTTTTGATGCTCTTCTATTAAAGAAGTCGGATTTTGGTTCTTTCTGTTTTTTCATGCTTTCTAACAAACCCCTGAGGCATTTTCCGAACATCTGTTTACATAGAGATTAGATCACACACAAGTGGACTCTATTTACTAATTAAGTGACTTTTAAAGCAATTGGTTTCACTTTGTCTTTGTTATGTAAAATCCCATCATGATTCATTGAGGTTGGTGGTTGTAACGTGACGGCTTAATGATCCAAACAGCTTGTCGAGGGTTTTATGCGACCTTGCAGCATATTTTCTGTTCCAGTCTTATATTTCCATTCTTTATGAGACACATTCTGCTTTTAATTATACATGCAAGTTGTCCAACTTGTGAATGAATCCGGTTTTGTCTTTAAAACAACATTTTGTTCTCCGCAAGAGATCATCCGTGCAAAAAAAAAAAAAGAAAATTGGATTATCCAAATTTACTTTGAAAATATTCTCGTGTGAGGGCTCATTGATATGATTTTATCCTCGCTGTGGCATCATAATGGCAAATAAGGCAAATAAGATTCAGACTTTGAATCGAGTCGATTCTGCATCAGCGTCATCTTTTCGAAACCCGGTAACCTAAACACCTTGGAGGTTTTCAGGAAAAAAACTTGACTTTTAATCATGGACTCAAACAATACAGAGACAGTGATGCTTTTCTCACCAAGTTAAATGTAGTATTCAGGAAGACTTTCTACACGCATCTCAATACGTCATTGAAAACTTAAGTGTCAAATTGAATTACTAAATAAAATGTACTTTTTTGTGATCTAATTCATTTTGATACACTTGTAAGATAAAATGACTCTTTCCATGTGATCTTGTTATTATACCTAATCCATCTCAAGGTGTGACCCCCACTCTTTCCTTTCCAATGCTTTCATACAAAAGGCCAATGCCATAAAGAAGTGAGCGTCATTAATCACATCCCCACTCTGACCTCAATTAAGGCTCATAAAAGCCGTAAGATGGCCGCCGACACCCGATCAGAGGACCTGTTCTGCTGACACAGGCAGCGGTTATGATTGGCTGTTATTGTGAGGAGGAAGACGTCCTCTGAATGCGATCCAACAGATCAGCCACTTCCTGAAACGATGTTCTTGCTCCCCGTCACATTATCTGTCGCCACGTCAGATAACTGCATATGCTATCAATTATTTAGTCACTTACTTTGTACTACACCACTTTTAATCAAACTTCATTTACTTAAAAGAGAAAATGGACAATTATTCCTCCTTCTGCTAAAAAAACAACAGCAGATTGGCCATTGCAGTTATAGCTGTGTTCACAAATTAAATCAATACTTTGATTTTACAGCATTTTATAAAGACTTGGATAACAATCTACAATTATTGCCCTACGTAACCCTTGATCTGGCAATTTCCAGTAGGACACGTTACACGCTTCATGTATTTATGTTAGGACTTTCATGAGGGTTCAATCTCTTCTGGTGTTAATATCTGTTATTAGTTCCTTTGTCGTCTTTTTCCTTACAAAATGAGCAATCGTTGACCTGATGAAATTGTTCAGAATGATTGTCACTTTGTCTTTACGTTCTGCTCGCTGTCCTCCTCCCCTGTTCAGTTTGTTAGGTATTCCGGCTGAGTTTCTTCCAGCCTTTCTGACAACTCTGTCCTTAGAAATCAGAGATCTCGTAAATCTTTCAGCGTCGCATTAGCATTCCTTTAATGCCGTTGCCGCTCCCCCCTCCCCAACAAACACGCTGAGTTTCTCCAACTTCAGATGGGTGAGCCTCAGACAAGAAAGGGAGAGAGTTTGCGACGGAGAATGCTCGTCAGATAAATACACTCCATTAACCTACCTCCATGCCCGGTCTCCTGCTGTCCAACTCGCACAGTCCTGATTAATGAGGCCGCTTCTGGAGTCTTGACTTCTCTCAGCAGACACCTGCATCCCAATCCCTCAACCCCTCTCCTCTTGAACCACATGCCTTTCATCTTCGTCTGCATCCTACCCAATGTCTGTTTTTTTTGTAGAAAAACAAGTGTGCGAGGGTGTAAGCCCAACAAGTTACGCTGATGATTTCGAACCAACCAGGATCCAAAGTGGAGACCACACATCTGTGTTCTCATAGACACGGAGACAACACTGTGTAACTTAAGCTGTAGTTGAAAAAATAGTGTTGTCTTGACTAAGACTTGTACAGAGTGACACCTGAGATACACCTGAGATACACCTGGTTCATACGGTGAGATTTGAAAATCGTCAGCCAGCTTTCTAAAAATCAGAGACCACACACGATGATAAAAAATCTTAGGGATGACAGGTTTGGTGATATAGTGTGGCATGACACACTATACTACCAAACAAACCGATTTCACTCACTAACTTCACACAGAAAATCTCTCAAAAGAGTAAACGCACATGGCCAGCTAGGAAGAAGCAATGACGATAGTTTGTGGACTATATCTAACAGAGATAAAACAATACAAAGGCATTTTCAATGTCCGCCAGCCGTTCTGATGTGCCATAGCAGTTGTTTTGTTTTCTGTGTTTTTTGAATTGCCCTCAGTGTTTCTGTCGCCTCGATTTCTGATCAGCTGAACGACATATTCAACAGGCTGTGTTCTGATTTGTCACAATTTATCCTGCCAAGACAATCCAACACGTTGACTATCCAATTTAGAATATTCCCAATTTTAGATCTCAGCCGTCCCGACGTTTCCGCGAGTGTAACAGATCACTCTTAGCACCCCGCAAACAGCAGGAACATCTCCTCAGATTATCCTGAGCTATTCCGATAATCAGTGTGTCCTTGAGATTGTTGGAAGGCGGAAGTCTAGATATAAAAACTCTGGTCTGAACCAGTGGTGTTTCTAGTTTTAGGAGTCTTATCGACCTTTATTAATGTGATCAGTTTATAAGCCTGAAGCTCCCAGCTCATCTTCAGAACTGAAGAAACGTTTAGGTTTGAATGTCTTTAGGAATCAAGCGAAGAAGTTCATTTACATTCTATTTAAGTACTTTTAAAAAAATAATGCCCTGGAAGATTTGAGAATCTATCCTTGTGTTTGTATTCATAGCAATTACGTTAGCCTAACATCTTATTCTCTCACTTCTGAGCTTGCGTCATTGACACTCCCTGTGTTTCCATTGACCACATAATTGCACAATTTGGCATTTTGAAAATTAATTTGCTTAATGGAAGCAACAATCGCATTGTCAGTTTCAGCAAAATGTTTTGGGGCTAGAATGAAGTGGTTGTTTGGCCAAATCAGAATTGGTTTATTTTGTAAAAGGAATCACTTTTTTTTTTTTTTTGCACCACAAGTCAATTGATCAACAACTGGATGTTGCCACTGATGCAAACCCCAAAGAAGAACATGACAGGATCATGACAGCATTACTTTTAATGATTTACTACACAAACAAACTTACTCACATCTGACTTTAATTACGTGTATTTCATGGGAACATTGCTATTGCAAAATTGTGTATTTTGCAACTCCAACTTTGGAAAAACACGTTTCTTTTCACATTCACATGATTGACGCTCGATGGATGGCTGCTTGCAGTCGTTGTGGCACATAGTCCTGGCCTGTGTCCCAGACCCCCACTGTTTGTTTTGACCTGATTTTCCTATATTTAGTTCGGCCTGCTCTCTGGAGCAAAGCACCACTCCCTCTCTACTGGTTGAGATTTCCTCGCCAAACAGGTCATGTTTACCAGACTTGTTTTCTTTTTTAAAGAGACAGTCAAATTCCATCTGACGGATGTTTGTGCTTTATGTGTTTTAAACGGTCTTAGCGTCATTCATTTTGAGAAAGAGAAGCGCGTGTCTTAGGTGTGGTAAGATAATGTGGAATTAGGGGTTCGGTGGTGGTGTGAACTTCCCAACCGGTCCAACAAATTCAGCTTTAACGAAGACGGCAAGAGGAACTCTCCTGTGCCTAATGGAGCCTGAAAAAACCGGCGCAAATAAAACGGCTCATTCTACACAACATTGAGGTTCAAGTGTAGGTCAGTGGTAGCAGGGAACACTGCCAATACCATTGAATTATTCAGAATGATTATAAAAGAGCAGCACAAGCTCATATTTACTTTAGGGTATGTCAGAAATTCTCATTGATTATATGTTAGCCCTGTGCATAAATCACTTTGCATCTGACCAACTCTCATTTGGGTTCAATATATATGTTGATGACTCTTTCTAAAAGTGCACATATCAATATATTATGGTGCATTGCTCAGGATTTATGTACGGCTAAACTAGGGCGCCCTTTTATTTGTGATGCGTTGGTAGGCTGCGTCTGCAGACTTGCAGTTCGTTCGGAAACGATTCATTTTGTCCACATTTTGTGACGTTGCAGCTTTGTTTCTACGTCAGTATTTGTAAAAAAAATAAAATAAAGACCATTTTCAACATTACAAATGCTGTTAGTGCCATTCTGTTGTGGCTATTCAATGTAAATATTCCATAGAAAGGATAAGAACTACTTTTGTTATTGTATCTATTAGTGACAGGCATTTTGTGACAAATTTCTTAAGTAATTTCTATCGTTTGCAGCAATGGGTGATGGTTGAAAACCCTAAAAACTGGTTGTAACATCAGTATTGTGTATTTATACTATTTTCCCTACTGGATTCCATGAGAGCCTCAATAAATATAAAAATGATTAAATGCTGAACAATATTTTTTATTTGTGTAGCTCTGACTGGGTTAGGTTTAGTGACAAGCACAATGAGTTGTTGTACTTACTTTTTTATTGTCTCTCATCAATTACAATAAATGCCAATGAATATTGTATTAACCTTCCTCTAAAATCTACATTTTAGCATGTTTGTTAATTTTTTTTTATCATTTCATTCAAAGTTTGGGCTCTAGACCCTAGCTCTAAACTTGTACTCAAATCTTTGTGTCTAAACTTTTGTCTTCTTTCTTTTTTTTTTGACTCACGCAGACTTGTCGTGGCTGAACTGGTGCGTAACCGGCTCGTGTCTCTTCAGCCTCGTCCTCGTCCTTTTCTTCAGGGAGTCCTACGATCGTCTCTACCTGGACGTCTTTGTCTCCGTGTGACACTTGTGTGGAAGAAAAAAAAAACACGAAGAAAATCGAGGCTGTTTAAACTCCTACTCTTGCACAGTAAAGAGGAGAAAAGGGACGCGGAGAGCAAGTTGGGAAGCTCTACGCTCTTTGTGAAATGTTAAATTTTAGGACGAGAATGTATATATAAATACCTGTAAACCCGAGGTGAGGGTAATGCACGTTTCTGCCATACGGAGGCGTTGTTTACATCTCAGAAGCAGTTAACCCGTAGGTTTGATGATGGTGCAACCTGTTTTTAACGGTTTCCTTCGTTTGTCTGAATGAGTTGAGGTGGACCCGCCTGAACGAACAGTTTGCCCCTTCGCAGGTAGTTTGAGTTGGAAAGTCACTCTGGAAGCTCCCACTTGTCTCATCTCAAAAGACGAGGCAAGGAAAACTCTTCTTGAAGTTTACAAAAGGGACGTCAAACAGGGCCCAACTCAACACCGAGCGACTTCCACGCACATTGAAGTTTAGTCCCTTCAGGAATTAAACTGGGACCTCCTCGTGTTTTAGTGCCGGCCATGACTCACCTGGAGGCTTAACTGACCCTACAGCGTTAGGCGACCTGTGATATTGCCTGTCAGCAAAAGACGAGGCCCTCTCAAAATGAATATTATGCAAAAGAAAAAAGAGGGATGCCGTCAGATCGACAGCTGGACGCCAGCCGAAGACGTGGACTCACCAGCGCTTCTCGTTTGGATGAGAAGCGTGTGACGGAGGGTTTATTTTTCCATTTCTTCAGAAAATTCACAACTAAATTATGTTTGTAATTTTAACCTAACTATAATTTCTTTTGTACAGCTTTTTTTTTAATTCACTTTTCTTCCTGAGCGGTGTGCCAGTATTTATTGAAACGAAAAAAATGTCTCAACACTAACAACACCAGAAACAAAAAGTTTGATGACAGACCTTTCTTTGTATTTATACAAGCGTACGAACAATGTTTTTGTTCAAAGCACCAGCAGCGTCCTTCGCAGCGACTGGCTTTCAGCCAGTTTTTTTTAACTGGCTTAAAAAAAACACACAGATTGAAAAAGTAGCCCATCTCATAAATATTATGCCTGATAAAACCTACAACAAGAGCATCTCCGTGTTAACAAAGTGAATCTCTGCAGGAGAGAAAAAAAAAAGGTTTTGTCTAACATGCTTATTTTCTGGTGTCTTTTTTTTCCCAGAGTTTCGAAAAAAGGAAGTATTTTTATGTTTTCCCTCTGGAGATAAAAAAAAGGTTGCGTAATTTGTTCCTGGTGCTGTTTTTCCCTCTCTCGCCTTGTAAAGAAAAGGTTCTCTTTCACCCACAGATGTGTTGCCTTAATTATCCAGTGCAGTGCATTCAACTTCCTCCTTCTGTCCACACTGTGAATATTTTATCTCTGGATTATGTCAAAATCCTGGGTTTCTGGGTTGTTGTTTTTTTTAACACTATGTAGCGTCCTAGGATTTGGTTATTACTTTGTGTTCCTTTGGGGTAAAACAAACACGACTCTCACAATGTTCAGCACCTTATTAAAATGATGATTTTACAAATTATAGCGCACATTTTCGTATATTATACTTTGCCTTTGTCCTAAGCTGAACCCCCTGGTTGTAACGCGTCGCTCAAGTATTACAAGCCACAAATCTTATCTATTTTATGTGTTAGGTTTACACAAAGTAGTGAATGATTGTGGTTAAAAATAACTGTAAAAAAAAAGTATATATCGGTATGATTATCAAATAATGTTCTAAGTTTGGAACAACAGTGCATCTACAAAGGCGTTAAAGTTTTGTTTATAAAAGCAGCTTATTAACTCTGGAGGAGTCGAGGGCATCCGCAACGCGGGTGGACAACTGCTGTCAGAACAGCAATTAATCTGAGCTTCGAAGAAGAATGAAAGGGGGGAAAAAAGCCACAAGAAAAGTTTGGTAAAATTATATAGACAACACAGAAAACGAGTGAAAAAAGGTTCTCTGTTCAGATGAGACTCAAAAGTTCTCAAAGTTTTTATATCTCAATACTCACAGTGGAAACCGGAGCTGGCGTCCACAGTCCAGCGTTCTTATGTTCGTTCTGGGCGGAAACAAGTCAATCAGTGTCAACATGACATCCATTTTCCTCTGTAAACGCAACAAAAGCATGCCAGGTACAAGCTGCAGTTTCTTTTTGAATATTTGAGAAATGTTCGTACAGCAAACTGAGAGAACAGGTGAATTTTCCGTCAAGAATTTGGAGTTGCATTTCGCAGAAAAATCTGAATGCTGACCCGTGAATAGGCGTGGCTTCTTTGTATTTGGCTTAGATAAAAATTTGTTTTTTTGTTGTTTTTTTTTGCTGTAAAGAGTAGAGCTAAAGCTTAGCCCAAAGGTACCTACCTGCAATGATAAGACTTTCACACAATAGACTGAGGTGGTTAAAGACAAATGCCTGTCATACTTTTTCAACTTTACAAGATCTACTTACTTTGTGCTGGTCGCTCATAATAAATCATATTTAAACTGCCATTTGTGTTTCTAATGTGACAAAACGTAAAGGTTTGAGCGGCGCAAATGCACTGTGTAATTTCCCACTGAATGGGAAGACTTTCACATGCTGTCTTATTTCTGTTTGCGTCCGTCGTGCTTCATCTGACTTCTTGTTGGAAGTTTCCTTCCATTATTATCAGCCAAAGCCTTTTGTTTGCTCTCCACAGAACCAACGTTGGAAGATTTTCTTTCATGCATCTCTCACGATTAATTTCTTTTCAGCTGAATACCGAGCATATTTAAGAGTTTAGAAATTGCTTTTGCTCCGTTATTGTTATTCACTATGTAATTTCCCTTTGTTGCTCTTTTTCTCTCCATTGTGCGCCGCCGTGGTTGAAATGTTGCATTGAGCTGTAGATCCACTTTGTAATTTTTTTTTTCTTCGACGCTCATTCGCATCCACGTCCGATTCACTGCAGTTAAATCAACCAATCAATTCCAGCTAATGGGTCACTTAGGAGCAGTTACTCATAAAACCCTTCCAAGCCCAGATCTGCTGAAGCTTCTCCATAGGCTAATTTCAATTTAATACACCATGTCATTGCTTCTCCATAATGTTGCCGGCAATTTTGAAAGAAAATCGAAGTAGCAAAGGCAGAAGATTTTTTTTTTTTGCTTTCATTTTTTGGCATGGTTCAATCTATTCATCAGAGCCTTCCTGGCTGGAAAATGAGTGTTGTTGGTTTTTTTTTTTTTTTCTGACCTCGACATCTAGTTTCTATTTTCCATTAGAAATCTCATGACATCAGCATTTCTTGCAGAGGCTTGGCGGAGCTCCGCAGGATCTGCGGTGACCAATGTTCCCTCTAATTTTTCATGTGTCTGGGCATACACACAAGCTTCCTGGGCACACTGAGGACCACTGTGAGCATCATCACTGTACACGGCGTGGCCACACACAAGTATCATAAATCTGGGATCATAGAAAGTTGCATGGCTTATTAAAAAAATTTAATTACATCAGCAATTTTCATTCGTTTGCTTTTAAGTGATTTGCTCAATTAAAATAAAAAAAAGAAAACATTGCTGTTCATGAGATGCATGCTATAAGAGTCCTGCTTCAGCCAGGGTGAGAAATGAGACATTACACCTTTCAGACATAAATGTTTGTTCATATTAAAACATTCACATTTTGCACAATGAAATGTTTTCTGTAGCTTGTGATGCAGTATAAATTCTTGTAAAATATTTAATTACAATTTTTTTCACGTCTGCCCTTCTCGCTTCTTCTCACTTCTCCAGTGGTTGCACACTTAGCCCAGGTTGATGGTCAGTCTGCTTCTTGCTTTATGTACTTGAATTCAGCATATTGACTGTTAATGGCCTCCATAATCTGTGGGTGGAGGAGAATGGCCTCATACTTCTTTGCCAGTGTACAAATGTCTGCTTATCCATAGTCAAAAGTCTGAACTCAACATTTCAATATCAAATGCAGACCATTCCTTTCATTTGATTTGATTCCATTTGATCTTAGAAGAAGTGCATTTCTTTTTTTTTTACTTTGGCTTGGTGAGTGGATGTCCCACTGTCCTGGCCTCGCTAAGCACTGTGACTTTTAACACTAACTCAGCTATACAGGTAGCTAAACACTTTCCCATCCGTCCACCAAGAAGCACTCCATTTGGTTTTTTAGCAGGGTTTAATGAGAATCGTGTAAAACTGTAACACACAAAAGTACAGAAAATGAATGCCAGCTAGGCTAACGCGTCGGGCTAACACGAGTAAAAAAATATCTATTGTCACATAAAACATGTCAACGGGATACAAATTATGATTTATATGACAAGCAAATTAGAACAGCACTTACAGACGATGCCGTTTCTGCACTTAGATTAAAGAAAACACAACAAAGAGGGCCCCTTTCGGACTACATGGACCAACGGCTTTCTTCCTTTCTGGTAAACAAGTCGTACTAATAAAAGTAACCACAAGATGGCGTCTGTAAGCCAGTAACAGACAAAATTATAACATTTGCCACTAGATACCCTCAGTAGATTAACTTAACATTGAATGACATTAAATTAAACAGGTTTCACTACACCCACGTAGACATGATAAGGTGATGGCTTTCACGTTTCTTAACTCTACCGCACTATTCTCACCTGCACGGCCATAAGATCAAGGCACGTAACCCACGTACACGCAGCCAATCAGTAGCGAAAGTGAACCGTATCATTGGCTGGATTCCTGTCACTCACTGAGTTCGATGTCCACTTTACGTTGGACTTTATTTTATGCGCTACATAGATTTTCTTGTGCGCTGAGAATATGTGAGCAGTGCGCGATTGCGCAGGCGCGCAGCTTAGAGGGAACATTGGCGGTGACATCCCTTAACTGATTGCACGAGCCGAGCCGATCTAACCATGACTGATGCTCCAGACCCTGGAGTCGCGAGGAGGAACTGGCACCAGCTTCACATCCTCTGTACTTTGTTACACACTGTGACTAATAGCCGAGCTGACTATGAATAAAAAGAAGAGACTGCCCAAGATTTTGAACAGTGATGCCTACACACCAGAAAACTTTAATCATTACTGTTTGTAGTTTTTGTTTTTTGTTTTCTTCCACTTGGTGCACACTGACATCTTACTTGGTGAGGCCAGAACTAACAGTGCCTCAAGTCACTAGATAACAAACCAGCAGAGTTGCTCATAGTTGTGAAGCAGGAGAATGTCCTTATCTACCCCTACAGCTGAAATGTGTGGAGAAATGGCTGCTTAGTCGCTTCAATGTACACACACACATCCACACACACACCTTCCTACCCCATTCCTCCTCTGGCAGCCCAGCTCGGGATGAGCTCATGCTCCATTGCTGGTGAGAACAGAACTCTCTGCACGCTACGATCCCATGCAGCGTCGCTTATGTGTAGGAGATTATTAGGATGCTAATTTGTTGTGACCTGGGGCAAGATGTTTCTTTGTCTTTTGTTGAGAATTAGATTCAGAAAATTAACAAGTCGGAAAAAATGATGAACATCTGGATGGTTTTAGGCTGGGTGTGACCTCCAATTCTTGCACATAACCCAAAACTGATGAGATGTAGAACAAATCCACTGCATGGAGCCTCTCACACTACAGTGCATTCATCACACCGACTGAAAGACAATCAATGGCTCCTCAGTTTATTGACGTTTCATTGACAGCGTTCCAGGTTTTTGCCTTGTTCCGCTGGGCTTTTTAGTTCACTTGTATGATGCCAAAATAAAGTTATGAAAAAACCCAAACTTTTGGTAAAGCTGACAATCTGCCAAAGACAAATATTTTTAGTCCTATTTGTTGTATTTATGTCAAGAGTTTGTATGGAGAGTCCAGTCCCAACTAACGGCTTCAAGGAAAGGTTGCTGAACCTAAAATTAAACAAACTTTTTTTCCGTATAACTTCAGTGTCATTATAATGTTCATGGTGACCAGACAGACGCAGTTATTCCAGCTGACCATGGAGATTTTCATTTCATAAAATAGATTTTGGATCTAAACCTCGTCAGTGTGCAGCAAAAATCTGTTTATGTAGTAATAAGCGTCCATCTGTTTATTTATTCCATCTTTCTCATGAAAGGGAAGAAAGCGTGATTGAATCAGAATTCCTCCGAGGAGACGAAGACGAAGCTTCTTGTTTTACAAAGAAAAACTCCTCCAGGCTTTCATGGCAGTCGGCCTTTGGAGGTAAAAACAATACAATTTGGAGATTCGGAGATGATTTGGAACATCCCATATATTACTGGGCTTTTCTGAAATAATTCATACTTTATGAATATTTCACAGTTTGTGGTTATATTTACAAATTCCACTGTCATTGGGACTGTATGAATTAAAACACTGTCCAGATGTGAAGTGCAAGGAAAGTGATAAATGTTTCAAAACATTTTTTTAATATAAATAAAGACCCCCATTTGAAATATTTTTGCTGCAATTACAAGAGGAGAACCTCCATCTCATCCTCAAGTTATTTTTGCAGCTTAATCAAAGTTTAATTATGCTTCAGTTAAAAAATATTAATCCTAGATGGAAATTAAAAAATTAGTAACTCTTATTCGCGTTTCTTCAAACAGTTGTTGTAGATGCTGGTGATTGCGGGCAGGAAGCGTCTCCTGTAGCAGTCTGTGTTACAGCGACTCTGAAGAAGCCTCTGACTGAAGACACTGTTGTTGTGTGACAGTTTGATCCTTCAACACACAATCATCTCCACATGTTCCAGCCTTCGCTATAAACCTTTCTGATTATTCAGATTGCAATACAGTGAACCCTCGATTCACCTTTCATGGCCTGTTGCTTTGCAGATTTTTTTGTGCATTTTTTTTTCCACAGTGCATTGTATTCTGTGACCTGATTGGCTAAACAGTCTCCGCCTTCTTCTCTAAACACTGTAACGTGCCAATAACATTATGGTATTTAAATATACAGCTTGGCAAATTTTGGCAAATATTTCTGCCTAGAAGAAAAAAAGAGCGACGACATCTACCAATAACTGTGTTCTTCTCTGGAAACCACACCTGCACCAGAGGCTTCAGAAGAAAGACACTGCAGAGCGGAGACAGGCTGCAGTCAGAGGCACAGTGAAATTCGCGAGTCACAATTTGCCCTCCTGTACCTCGTATTGATGATTAAAATGATTATTTTACTGTAGTTATTTGTAAGAAAGTGTTATAATAATTAAAAAAAAAAAAAAGCTTGGGCCTGAAAACAGGTTTTGTTGTTTGGTTTCAATGTTGAGTAATTATGCTGTTTAATAATTGTAAAAAATAAATGTAACTCAAATGTAACTACTTCATGGATTTCACGGGTTCTTTTCGGAACGCAACCCCCGCAAAAAACGAGGGTTCACTGTAAATAATTTAATGGGGTTTGGGGGTGAATACCTTTCCGAGGCACCATTACAAAGATGTTTTTTTTCTTTTAGTAAGTAACTGTTAACAAAAGGTCTTCAGAAAGGTAGTTTCATCCTGTCAGCTTCCTCATGTCAGAACTGGATCTGGGACA